AACTATGCAAAGTATTCAATTTATAGAAAAAAACGTACTAATAATTCATACTTTGAAAATAGAAATCAAATATCTTTATATGGGTAATAAATGTTACTATATTTAGTTATATATATGTGGCCTTATCATGAATGAATGATTGCCATATGCTTTCTTTTTCTATGCGTACTACTCTAAAGTAAAGCTTATAATAAAATAAGATCATAAATCAAAAGAAACAATATAAGTTTCGAAAATTTTGTTGAAACAAAGAATAATAAAAAAGGTAAAAGATTGTCTTTTAAGAAAATTTTCTACTCGTAACTTATTTTTTTTTTACGTTTGTTTGTCACTTGTTTAATATATTCTATATTTGTTTAAATACAATCATTCATAAGTACAAACAGGTATTCCAAAAAGAACGAGCCTATCTGTATTTTAATGATGTCTCTTTCAATATCTCTTATTTTAGGTTTTACTTTGTTTCTGAAAGATTTGCCTTTTAGTTCTCTACTAAACAGTATAATTCTTTGTTATGTAAATGACATCCGTAATTTTGTGAAACATGCATCAAACAAACAGTTGGACATGAACAAATTCGTAATACAAAATTTTATCAAATTATTTTGACCGTATCATATGAAATCTGAACAATATGGCAATCAATAGTTCATGACGATGCAAGAGAACAAGTTATTTTCACATTAATGTTGTATGAGTTGATAGATCGAAAGCTTCACACTGTTGCCTGCTGCAATATTCGATCGGATGTTGATATCATGTTCGACCAAGTAACACTAAATGATACTCAATACTACTAAGATGTAGAAACAAGGTCTTCAAAACAGATCGGACATTTTCAGCAGACAGCAATGCGAAGCTGCAGATCCATCAAGTCATACAACATTGGTATCAAGAACCGTTAATTGCTGTTTAGTGCAGATTTAAATCTATTGAAGCATTTACATTTAATTTGAGGCAAATTTTTTGATATCTACAATTATGTTGAAAAAAAGATGTCATATAAAAATTGTATGATGATATCAAAATAATTTGATAAAAATCTGTTTTTACAACACTATTAACGTTCGACTGTTTGTGTAATGCGTGTCTTGCAAAATTATTACGGATGTTATTTACGCTAATAAAAATTATACTGTTTTATAGAGAATTAAGAGGCGATCCCATATGGAGAAAGTAAAGCCTAAAAAAGTAGATACCAAAAGAGATATTAGTAAAATACAGAAAGGTATATTCTTCCTAGGACATCTATTAAAAAAAGATAAATAATTATATCTAAATCTGTTCGTTTGACAAGAACAAACTCATTCTAACTCAAGCAGACAAGAATCTTTGAAAAACTGTTGTACAAACATCCTAATCGCTCACTTTCCATTTGACTATTTTTTTACATCAATTCAGAAAAACATAAAAGTCAGGTACGTTCATCATAAACGATACATAAAGACGCTTAAAAAAGGCAATTTTCGCATCTGTAAACCGTACCAAAATTATTTTCCGTAATATTTTGACATTTTTTGTAAATAAAAATGACTTTTTTTTATGCATAGTGTATATCAAAATACAATGAGACAATGATTTGAATGTTATCTAGATGTAAAAATTACTTATTTTAAGCATCTTCATGCACATTTTATGCTGAAATTAGCTAGTTATTATATTTTCTGATTGAACCATAAAAACGCTCAGATGAGAACACGTGATTAGAATGTTTAAATACGTTTTGCAGAAATTATTCTGTGTTTAAGAAGGTTGAAAACGCTACCAGATCGTTTCGATAATTGACGTAATGAACAAAATACACAATACTGACACCAAAAGTAATTAAAACAACTCTAAAAAATCTTTTAGTATGTATGAAGAATTTCAATGTTAGTTGTCTCTCTGCTATTGCAATGAAATCATAGAATTTCTATTTAATAGCAAAGAAAAGTTAAGATTAGATATATAAAATTATGTCTCTATTCAAGTTCATGTGAAGTAAATGGTGCCTACCTCAAACAAAAATAATAGATTTCATTATCCATTAGTTGAGCATTCTCATTAGTTACAAGAATATGGAATAATATAAAATATATTGATAGTAAATTTCTATTCATTATATTATTTTAAAAAGCTTTTTCTATTACATAAAAGCCAATAAAATAAAACATCAACAATAAATGTAATCTTGTTAAACAATAGTTCGATATAAATTTTACTATTATATCATTTGAAATAGATTCATTTTTATTGTTTAAATGATCCATAAATAGCATTACGATAAAAAAAAATGAGATATTTCCACTTCAGTTCAATCAAATGAGCTTATTTTTAGATTCGTGATAGAAGTCTATTCAAAGCTATTTTGTTCTAAACATACGAATACGGTAAGGAAATACTACTATTAAGTATTATTCTTGTTATCATGAAAGCAATTTTACATGTTTTGAAGTAAGAAAAAAATACATATGAAGCGGTTTTAGAGATAGATTTCAGTTCTTATTTAACAGAATAATAAGAAGGAATCAAAAACAACTTTACAAAAGGCTTCACATCGATGTATATAGAGTAAATTTTCAGAACTAATTTGTTTCAAAAACAACAATAACAAACTTTTGTCCAATATGAAACACTGACTTTTGCAAAGAAGTTAGTGCTCAATGAGTTGTGAGTTTTACTTATGAGTCAAGAATTTCAGCATTTTAAACTGACTACAATTTTGAAAACTTGCTCTGTATACATTAATATACTTCATTTTGATTTTTTCTTATTATTTTCTTCGATGAAAACTGGAAACTATCTATGAAACTCTTCATATATGTTTTTTTCTTACTTGACAATACAGGATATCTCATAAGCTCTGAACACTAACGAATATTAGTTTATATGTAAAAAACTAGTGATCACACCAACAGAAGAAACATGACAAGTAAAATGTCGAAATCGATCAGTATTTTTCAAAAAAAATTTTAATGAATTATGAATTTTTCGTATGTAACGTAACACAATTATACATAACGATACGTAGTACCTAGGATGTGAGTGTAGGTGTACTCTATATCCACAACCTAATTATCACGTTTCTTGTGTTTATATTAGTATTATTAAAAGACATAATGCCATTTAAAATATCGTCCTAAGTACTCAAAGTTTATATAGATATAATTGGGTAGGGATCATTCTTTATTTACATATAAACTGATTTTTGTTGAGACTTAGAACTTATGGAACATTCTCGTTAGGTAAAATTTCCTTGATGAGAGCAATTTCTACTTACGTTTGTCCGTATGAAAAAAATAAAAGCTTAAAATAAACTGTTACCTGTAACCAAATAATCAGCTCATTGGAGCGAATCGAAGCGGACATATTTTTATTTTTTATTGCAGTATTATTTATGGCCTATTGTGTACAGTAAAAATCTTCAATAGAGAATATTGAGATCGAAGTGATTAAAATAAACATCTAAATGAGATTTATAACTGACGATAAGACTGAAAAAGAAGAATGAAATTGTCTCGTATTTTGATAAATACTTCATGCTATTATTTGATCTAGGCATAGAAAATAGCAAAATTATTTTAAAAAAAGTAAATCTTTTCTTAACTTGTATATTTGTTTATGTTTTTCAAATAACAAAAAAAAACTCGTAGACAATCAATTATTGACAATAATTCTTTTAAATCTAGTTCATTTAGAACAAGAACCAAATAAAAACCGAAAGGTGTTACAGAGATATCAAATTTCTTATAATTCCTTTTATACTTTAAAATTCAGTTTACAATTACTGAGAATCGAATATTTTAAAATTTTACAGAATGTCAGGTTACAAAATAAATAACGATTGTACTAGGTAATATAAACCATTTGACTCTATTTTCGTCTCGTAATCATCTGTCAAGCCCGTATCATTATCTTCTCGTCAAACTACAGAACGAAATAAATGATTCAGCTTTCTCTTTTTTTTCTCATTATACTTTGCGCATTATAGCTTCAGTCATTAAAAAAAAAGAACAAATATTTTTCCCATTATTTTAGTTTTTATATGAAAATGTTGACACGATTTTATTGACATGTCTAGTTTTATGTATCTGCCGTCATTACTTGAAGTCACATATCGATAAAAATAACTCATCTTCACGTTTTTCATCATTAGTTTGAATAATATATACCAGAATAGTTAAAAGATCAAAAACAAACTATTGCCCTTAAAAAACTTCGATTCATTTTTCTTCTAAAATAACTTTCGATACTTGTCTATTCCTATTACTGTGTCATACATCACGTCGAAATATGTTTGTAATTATTTACCACAACAATCTATCGTTAACTTTTATCAACGTTCTTGTTGTTATTTACGTCATCAATCACTGATTTTTTTCTTTTTTTTTGTGTATGTTATTTTGTTCTCCGTTATACACTTACATAATATATATATATATATAGTCACAAATACTTTTGCTTGTTAGCTGCTTAAATCTGTGAAGCATATACTTGACAAGAGAAAAAAAAGATGACAGCTTTGAGATTTATCTATAAGATAAGATAAGATAAAATATGAGGGTAGATAGGAAATATTTAAAAGATGTGTAGAAGAAAAATATATTTAATGATTTCCGAAGTTCATTTATAAAATATATCAGAGATCAAATATATATATATATATATATATTATACGCAATAGTCTTTATATGAGTTCGAATAAAATATGTTTTAAGATCATTTTCTTTTAAGCCTTGACTTGAGCAAGAATATTATGAGAACGAAAAAAAACAAGACAAAGCATATAAAAAAAAGAAACACAATGTCGTTTGATCTTGTATTATGATTTATTTATTCGTAGGATTATGTTAACTTTGTTTTTTTGTTTTTTATATAAAATTTCTTTTTTTTTTATTTAAATAATATTCATCAATTATATTTTTCTTTATTTAATAGATTTTTTATTCTCAAATATAATCATTATGTTCATATTATTTACTAGTATTTTATTTCTATTGATTCATCATGGGCAATGTTTCATGGAAGCTACAGCTGATGTTCGATTACATGGTACATCAACATCAATTGGAATATTGAACTTTGTTCAAAATGATGCTAATTCATCTGTACGAATAACTGGTACACTAACATCATTGAGTGCTAGTAGCAATCATGTATGTTTAATAAAATTTATAATGAAGAAAATTTTTTTTGATACAAATTCTTTTTTTCAAGGGTTTTCATGTTCATACCAATGCTGTAGCAGAAACCACACCGAATTGTGTGGAAGCTGCTGGCCATTTTAATCCTTACAGTATAGAATTTTTTATATTGTAATATTAAAATTAAAAAAAAATGAAAATATTTAGATACGGCTCATGGCCCTCCTCAAGCCGATATATGGCACCGACATGTTGGTGATCTTGGAAATATAACAACGGATGCAAGTGGTGCAGCACATATTGATATTAGTGATAATATTATTCAATTTTATAATTCCACACAATCAATTGCTAATCGAACTATTATAGTACATCTTATGTTTGATGACGGTGGCTTCGGTATGAATGAGAGTAATATAACTGGGTATGATAGTACACTTTAAAAAAAGAATATATTTTTTTTCATTGTTTTTATTTGTTTTTGAAATAGAAATGCTGGTGCACGAGTTGCTTGTGGTCTTATTAAAGTAAAATCAAATGGAATAAATATTAAACCAATTACATCTATGTTATTTTTTACAATAATGATTATTGTTATGATACGCTTCGAGTGACATATAAACTTGACTTTGGTTTTTTTTTGTCTAGACATTAATTAAATATTCCCGAAAAAACTCATCATTTTACTTTTTCTATTCTTGCATTTAGTTGATTCTCTTTTTCTTTTTTTGAATACTTTTTTTTTCTTTTTCATTTATTAAAATCTTGAAACAGTTGGATTTATGTGTATCAAAATGAATAATAAATAAATTGCTTTTTCTGTGAGTTAATCACTGTAGTATCAAAATTCTTTCAAAATATTCAAATAATGTTATTTGATTTATTTGAATATAAACACATGTTTTTTAAAATTTTTCAATGTTCTATTCTAATGTAGAATGTCAGGTTTTATATATTAATTGAACAATATTGATATAATAAGTTTTCAAATTATTTTATTTGCACTTCTACAAACACTAATAAAGATCCAAATAATAATTTGTGTTAAGAATTTTATGTCGATCTAGAATTTTTCCAGATAAAACATTCTTGCTAGCATGCCAAAGATAGAATCTCTGAAATATAGAAAACTAAGATTTTCATCTCATGGAATTCGTAAAATAGAATTCTGTTTGAATTACTCAGGACGATAGAGCAAACAGGAAATGAAACTTTTTTCTGATCTTATGAAAGAGACAAAAATAGTTCTGTGAAACTCGTATGTCTTTCACAGGAAATAGTCAATGTCAGTATCAAGCCAAAGCTTTGCTGCTCTTCATCCCTTTCCCTCTCCATTTAAGAGTTTAGCAACCAGGATTACAGACGCTGAACGACATTAATTAAAAAGCTTAGAAAGCTCTAGAACGTTACAGAACCTTCTTTGAAATTTACATGACTGAAACCAATTTTTCAATATTCTAAATGATGTAGCTTCTAATTTTTTGCACAGAAAAACGATTATATGATAGATATCAAATATAATGTTTTGATTTCCTACAACTGTCACACGATCAACATGAAAACATGAATTGATGAAGTTTTAACTTTCAGGAATAATCAAACTCCGTGTTTCTGACTCATTTAGACACATAATAAATCATTCAAATTTGCTCTAGATATAACAAATGTGTAGAGTAGACTTATTTGCCTAATAAATCAATAGTTGAATCAATAATAATAAATTATAAAAATGAAATAAAAAGAACAATTAAATATTAATCAATGAGCAATAAGACAAATAGAAAAAGAATGGCAGTCAAAAAAACTTTCTGTTCGGAATGCAGAAATAAAGAAGACATAGCGTTTGCTGATAATATAATTATCATTAGAATAGAAAACTCATCTTTTAGAGGTTTACATTTTGCGTATTTTGTATTAGTATAATGAGGTTAAAGAAGACATGTGAGTTCCATATGTCACTCCTAAATGAGCTCTACTAACAAACTTCTTTCTGTTGTATCGTATAGAAATATCATTTTGTGCTTTCCGTAAGATTAATGTATATTGGTCAAGAAATGTCTTACAAAGCAAGAAGACGTTTCATTTTCTGTCTACTCTAGCTAATTCAAATAGAATTGTGCCAGCGAATGCTAGGAGATGATAACCATGGCTTCTAGCTTTCCAGAGACTTTACCTTTAGAAAACTAACAATCATTTTCATCTGCAAAAAATTCTGTTGGAAATGAAACTATTTTCATAAATCACTATTTAAATTCTTATTAGTGTTTATGGCAACGGAAAAAAATTGAAATAAACAAGATTGAATAAATTTAGCAACCATTGTATTGCATCGAAATGTTTACAGAAGTTTTATTCAATCATACAAAAAGATCTTAAAAATTATGTATAGACTTTTAGAGTATGTCAATCTCTGTTAATATTTGAATCAAATTAAGAATAAAATGATTAATTATTTATTTAAATAATAAATATCTAAAACGTTCAAAATGAAAAATAATATCACATGATCAATAGTTAGTCATAGAAGAATTTAACTATGAATAATCCCATCACCGAACGAATCAATGAACAAATCAATATAATAGACCGAATCGAATTTTAACGGCAAGAATGAAATAAGGCAAGAAAGAAAAAAAGAACGCAAAAATACATATGATCCAAACTTGATCTATCATCGAATGAAAAGACTATCGATATGTATTTAATTCATATGTACATATCCTTCTATAAGTATAGCTTTGTTTAAACTTTCAATGTATTAAATAAGAGTCTTTTTATGTAGAAGATAAATTTTGAATTTTTCTTTTTCTTTTTCTTTTCAGAAAATTTTGTTTTTCTAAAGATGATCAATAATAATAATAATAATGATGATAACTTTGATGATATTGATTTGGATGAAATTTTTAATGATTTTAATGAAAAACAATCATCTATTCAACGACAACCATTAGCGAAATATGATTTAAAGTAAGTTAATTATTTAAACTCAAGAAAAATATTTATTATTTATATATATATAAATTAGTCATAAAACAAATCAAGATGATTTGTTTGAATTTAATGAAAAAGATTGTACAGCACCCAAAATAAATCGAAAACGAACAAAAACAATTAGAAAAATTCATGCTAAACAAATGACTATGTATGATTATGCTTCTAGTGTATCATATAAACATAAACAATTTTATTCATCATTGGATAATACAACAACAACAAAAACAATTATCAAAGGACAAAAACGTTCATTAACAGTAATATAGAATTAAATTTATTCGATAAGTTTTTGTTTTTACTATTTATTTTTTTTATATAAAGGAATATCCAGCATTATCACCGATTTCAAAAAGAATGAAAACAACTGAATTTGATAATTTATCATCATCATCAACACCACCAGATTTTATTGATAGTCTTTTACGATATCTTGATGAACGTAGTCGTCAGAAAACAGAACATTCAATTAAAGAAGAAAAACCATTAAACAATGATGAGATAAAAACAAAAGAAAACTAAGAATTTGTTTTTAGAATTTTAAAATTATTGAAATTTTATTTGGTTTTGATAGATATTATTTATTGATTTTATTTTATTTTTTGTCTAGGTGTGTCTTTTTCCACTCCATTGTAAATTATTAGATAAACGAGATATTCAAAGAAAGCATTTTTTTTCTTTAATAAATCAGATTAAGAATGAAATCAGATGTTAACGTAACATTAGAAAGGTTTGCTTTCGATTAGATAATTAACAATACAATTTGATACTTGAAGTGCAACTATCTTATTAAGAATATTGATGGATTTTTTAGTTGAAAGTTTCAAAAAAAAAAGCTGTTAGCGCTATCTCTGCAGGTTTAAAATGTCAGAAAAAGGATATAGTTGCTGTTGCTAATCACAGGAAGATTGTTTTGTTCTATGTTTTGGGACACCTTCGCTCGTCATTATTTTACGTAATTCTTCAGAAATGAAATAAGGAAGTAGTTTATACATTATAATGAGTCTTTGTTGATGTATGATCTTTAATCGAATATCAACAAGATCCGTTACAGGCTGTAACGTTTCTGTAGTTGTATCTATCATGTTTGTAAGTGGTCCAAATTTCAACTCCTGTAATTCAACATTTCTTTTAGATTGTGTTTCTCAAAACCCATATAGGACATTTTCAAAATAGTTAATTCATTAGGCGCTAATCCGTAAAAGATATACAGATGAAAACTGTATGTTTTTGTTGCTTTATGACGGCACAGTGTGCTGGGACTTCTATTATTTTTGTATTTCTCCGCTTGTTTCGTGTCTTTTTCATGATTAGAAATGTGCTGGGACTAATTTTTTTGGTCGCAGTCCCGATTTTAGCTTCAGTTAATCTGATCTAGTCATACTACTGATCTGCAGAAAAGTATTCCAGAATGTATTCGTATCATATCTAAAAAGTTCTTCAATGCTCTTTTTTTTATAATTATTTAGTCGATGATTAACACGTTTTAGGGTCATCTCGGTTGAATTATGTTGACATTTTTTCGCTCTGTACTCGTTTTTCTGGTAATCTTGGTTTTATCTATTGGTGCTCCACATAGCGAAATTTGAATGCTTGTAAATGTGTGAATTGTATAGAATTATTGGATATGATATCATGGTCATAGAGCATACGTTTCTATTATGAATGTATTTGTCTATCTCCATATTCTATATCATTGAGAGAGCATTTATTCTATTTATTGATATTAATTATCTGGCAGGTCGTTCTTCTTCCTACTATCCGATTTCGATTAACCCCATCCTTTCTGGATATTAAAATTAAAAATTTTATTCATAAAGAGCCTATTTGTCCAAATACACTTATAAGTAGAGAACGCATCATAGAATTCTGAGATGTTGCCCTTTTGAAAATACTCTTCAAAATCAATTAAAATTGAAAGTTTTGCAATAAATGCTTCACCAACGACAAAAACTTTTGTAATAAGTGATCACCTGCGTTGTGATTCCTGTGAAGAAATGGTCACATATTGCTGATCCAGTCTTCTTCTTTTTTCTGAACATCCTTTACAAGTGTCCTCTTACGATATTTATAATCGATTTATTCTACTTAAACTTCCGATCTAAGGCATAAAAATTTTCTTTTTATCTATTTGAATGTGTAACTCATAGAAATGATCAATAAACAATACAAATAACAAAAATATCATACAGAAATATTTAGTTAAGTGATAATATGGTGCATAGTATAAGTCTCACACAATGCACGATTATCTACATATAAAAAGATTTTGTGTCAAAAAATTCATCAATTGAAATGTTGAAACAATATAGAAACTTTTCAATATTTTCAATTAAAAATATGAAACAATGAATTTAAAATGAGAACTGTGCTATATTGTATCTGAAAACTTCTTTGAACCGACAAAATAATCGTAACGGATAATCGTTTCAAAAAACAAAGATCAAAATAAAAGTTGCTGATATATAATTTGAAAAATACTTAAGAATCTCAGTTATTGTTTATCACAAGTGAAGCAATCTTTGAAAAGCTTCAAAAAGTTAGTTCGCACGAAGAATTTTTGTATTTTCACCATACATTTGAAGCTTTTTTTAATCATTCGATCTAGTACCTCAATGTTCTTTTTTTCGTAAATACTCATTTTTGAAAAATCAACAACTGTTTCACATTGAGACGAGCTCTTGAAGAAAAGGTTCAGAACATCACATGGGTAAACACTGTAGCTTAGTTCAATATTACATTTTGTAAAGAAGGGTGTTCGCTCATATTAAAAGTAATTTTTGAGATCTTTCAAAAAGTTCTTCACGAGTCTTAAACAAAAATAGACAACATTTCTAAGGCCATATTAAAAAAAAGCACAAAGTCATAGTTTTCAACTCGTCAAAAATACTTTCCAGTGAATCACTTGTTACTTCTACAGATCAAACATTTCAGCATTGTATATATAAGAGTACAAATAATAAATACACAACATTATGATCTTATATTTTATATTATGGTCTAAGCAACAATTGTAACTCATTGATTTCATTACGTTCCAATCTATCACAACGATTCGACTAACTCTTGATTGATTTTATTTAAAAATAAATTCAATTTTTATTCATCAATTATATTTCTCTCTATTTTTCACATTGAATTCTTCAAATCAATATTTTGTTCTTTTATTCAAGATAGTTCATGTACCATTAATTTAGTCCATTTTTTTTTGTGATCTTTCCTTTATATAAACATCGATCGTACCGTACATATATCGTCTATAATGACGTAGAAAAATAGAGTTGAAGGTCAAGATAGAAAAAACAAAGAACCATACAACAACAGTAAGCATCACATAAGTAGAAAGAATAAATCAAAAAGAAAAAGAAAACCATCGATCGATATTTTGTTTTCTTTGTTAACAAAAAGAAAAAAAAAAGAAGAAGAAGCATAAACTGAAATCAATACATTTAAGTTGGCTTTTTTGTGCTTTAAAGCACAAACACACATATATCTTATCTTTTCTTTTTTCAATGATATATTACGACAATGCAACAAGAAAAAAGGACACAGAATGTCAACAATATTCAATGAAAAAAGAAAAGTTCAGGAATAAAGTAAAAAGATCGAGGTTGACTATATATATATATATGCAGAACAAAAAAAGAAAAAGAAAACTAATAAACATTTACATGGACAAAAAATACGAGATACTGATGACGAGAAGAAGAATTGTATATTTATTGTTTCTTCTTATAATTAATACAGATTTATATACAGTTCAATGTATTAATATTACTGAGACATATTTCTATAAAAAGAAGAAAGAAAAATTTAATAAATATATAAAAAAATTAAAATTTTTACTTTTGTTACCAATTTTTGACTATTGTGAAGACGGTGAATTAGCTTCAATATTTCCATTCTCTTCTTCTTCATCGTTATCTTCATCTTGTTCTATATCACTTTCGTCATCATTTAAATTTGCTAGTATTTGTTCTTCATCTGATAATGCCGATGATGATGATGATGATGATGATGATTTTGCGATACGTACTCTTCGACGTGCTGGACGTCGAATATCATAATCATCATCTGATTTATTATCATTGGTTGATGATGGACTTAATATACGTGTACGTTTTGAACGTCGTTGATTTCGTGTTTCTTCTTCATAATCACTTTCATCATCATTTTCGATTTCTTCTTGTTCATGTTCATATTCATATTCATCTTCATCTTCATCAATTTCACGATAATTTTTACGTACAGCTATTTAAATGGAAAAGCAAAAGAATATTTTGCATACTTGAAATACGATTTGTTTATAAAATTTTGAAATGAATTTGTACTCAAGAGAACAATGTTTAGTAGTCAAATTAGAAAACATTCGGATTATATATAATATGTAATGCAAATGCTTTTACAAAGATATTTAACGCTGTTTGATCATATTATCGAAATCTAAACTAATCAAATTATTTTTGCCGGAAAGAACAATGTTTGCTAAATTATAAATTTTTGTAGCATACATAGTTCTTCAGAACGAACCTAAGAAAGACGAAAAGCAAGCTAGATGGACGAACTTTTAATTGAAAAAAAAAACAAGAACATGTTGCGCATCAGAAATCTTATCGATATTAGCTTGAAGCAAAATATTCTGTATACACCTAAAAACGATAATTACAATCGCCAAAAATGGTACTGTTTACTGTCATCGTATACAATGTTGCGGTCATGTGGTAGGCACAGTATTACGATTGTGTTTTATCATGCTGTATACAGTTGACAATGATCAGAATATTGAATATCCAATCGTTGACAATACAATAAAATACGGCTGTAACACTGCGTCTAGCAAGTCATCTAAAATAGCATCGTGCTCATTTGATCTGAGCATTGTATAATTTTTTTATAAAATAAAATCTTTTGTAAGAATATCAGCTGCTATCGACAACAAATTCAAAAAAGAAAATTTTCTTTATCATCGCAAAACGAAAAAATAGTGAGGACAAGCAAATTCATCAATCTCATTCAGAAAAAGCGATATTATTTTTGTATAACAAAGAAGAATAAATTTAAGTTTTGGTATACTATCGAAAAGAGTAATAAAAATCATTAATAAACATGTTTTGTTAGAAAATAAATTCGTAGACATTAGAAAATGATGTTGTTCGATAGTGAAATTCTACGAATTTTTCTAGAAATGTTCGGTTTTTAGTTTCTTTTCTTGCTCATATTTGTTTTAGAAAAAAATTTTGATTAGTTTAGAAGTTGATAATATGATCTAACGACATTTGACATTATTGTAAAGTCTTAGACATCACACATACTATTATTAATTTTAATCATACATTAATTAAGAAGTCGAATAGTCTTTAGTTTCATAAATTAAAATTGATAATGTTTATGACTTTTATTTTGAAGTATCCGTTGAGATTTATGTTAATAGAAGCTGATTTGAACTTTTTTTTTGCAGAATTAATGTGTCTAATGATTTCCTAAATATATTAAGATCTTGAGAATAATTAAATGCAACAAGA